AATGGTATACAGTTCGAAATCTACATTAAGCTATACAATGTAGTACATTTAAAGTAAGTTTATTGCATTACTAAACGTTTTCAATCAAGATAAAACGTTTACAACCAATACTATTTTTACGACTAAATAAGTTTTATGTAAATAAATAGTTCACGTTTCAATTAACTTAGGGTATTGTTTAGTAGGTTATTTTTTTTTTTTAACATTTTATAAGATCGAATTTGAAATGATTCAAAATTACAAAAAGACGTCAAGAACTACGCAATTAGTATGAAACAAAATATATACTAAATAAGATAACTTATTTGCTTTAATTAAGAAGTGAAATGTTTCCAATCCAATCTTTCCAATCTAATATAGTCCAAAGGGTGACAAAAGGATATAAATATGGTCACTAAAGGTTTTCTTACGGCTGGCGGTAAAAAAAAAACCTTGCCAAAGTGGGGCATCCGCTTGGTTGTTTGGAATATACAAGTACGCAACCAACTATCAATCAATCCAATCTAATGATTTTTTTTTATCCCGCATCTTTATATATTAAACTATTTTACTCAAAACAACTTTCAGAAAGAAAACCCTATCATATATCAGACGCTAAACAAAACGATATACCATACGATAGATGAAACGCTTAACGATATCATATACCATACGATAAACGAAACGCTAAACGCTAAACCATACCATGTACCATACGACAAATAAAACGCTTAACGATACCATGAAACATACGATATACAAAACCCTAAACGATGACATTTACCATACGATGAACGAACGATGAACGAACGCTGACCGAACGTTGTACGGACGCTATACGAATGATGTACGAACGATGACCGGACTCTATACGAACGATTCCCGAACGCTACACGTACGATTCCCGAATGAAAAAAGTGTTAACTTTTACGTTACAGGGACTGTATATATAATGACAATTTAATCGATAATTAGTAAATGTGCACGTCATTTAAATAGAGTATACACCAGTCAATCTGAAGAAATTTCACATGTTTATATATGAATCTAAGAATACAATAGCATAAAATTAAACAGTTTTCAAATTCCGTTTTTATCAGAAACCTAAATCATGGTGTTGTTTATTTTTCGTACGTATAAAATATTATTTTAGATGTTCATATTTAGAGACTAAACTTGTTTGCAGTGTCACTTGTTTATTATTTGATTCGTGAGATTCCCTTCAGCAAAAACTATTTCTAAAATCAAGAATGGAAATGGGGAATGTGTAAAAGAGACAACAGCCCGACCAAGAGCAGAAAATAGTCCAAGGCCACCATTGGGTCTTCAACATAGCAGGGAAATCCCGCAACCGGTGGCAGGCTTCATCTGCCTTCTAAACATAATGTATACTTATTTAGCTAGAAAGGACGTCACACAAAATTCCGAGTTACCTTTTTAGACCATTTACAAAAGTGAGATATTACTCTCATTTAACTTATGTTGCCAGTGATTTCTCTGAACATTCTACAAAACAAACATTAGGAAAGTGTAAGCTAGTTTATACATGTAGAAAATCTGGTAAAAAATCTTTATATCAACTGTTAACAAAGACAGATTTCAGTTGCAATTACACGGCATTATCGTTAGTTTCTATTTATATCCGTCAAACAGTTCTTTTAAAATCTTGGCAAACAAAAACAACTAACTTATGTAAAGGTTCCATGTATGTCCTGCAAAAAACTTTGGACTGTGGTAATGATAAGTCTTTCTACGTAAGTTGTCCATTTAAAGAGTATTAGTGCATTAATAAATATACAAATAAGAAGATGTGGAATAATTCCCAATGAGACAATTCTCCACCAGAGATCAATTGACATACGTGTTAACAAATATAGGTCACACCGTAAGGTCTTTAACAATGAACAAAATCCATACCGCATAATCATAAAAAGAGGCAGATTGGACCAAAGGGAACATTTAAAACACAGAAAAAGACAGAAAGAGACAACGCCATTGCAAAATATTAAATCATGTAACACATTCATTCCCGTTAGAGTAGTGTTGTCAATTGAAATAGCACTTTGCTCATTTAAATTACTTTCGAAAACCAATACTATCTGGTATATTTTTGTGATATGTAAAATAAGGATGAAGATGATGATAATGTTTACTTTAAGTCCAGTTGCAAATAAAATGCCCAAGACTGCCTCATATCTAGAACATTGACAATGAGGATCGGTTGAGAACAAACAGTTACGATAATAGAGTAGATTTCAGCTTCCTAATTTGAACTTTCTATTCCTATGTAGCATCATTCTAGCAGCACTCGTATATTGTGTATATATATATCATTCAGTTGATACGATATTCAAGGGCTTGCGCTTCCTATCATGATTTCATTGATAGAGGGTTGATGATTACAAGAAAGTCATTAAACCAAGATGCGAAAATGAAATCATCATTTCGAAAATTTTACGGATGATATCACGAGTTGGTTGACTGTTATCGAATGTCTGTGTCACAGATGACGACGGATATGTTCCAAACGTTGTAACCAGAATCTTTTTCTCGGAATGTGACAAATCAAATTAACCGGTTTTGTCCTTATATATGAGCAACACGATTGGTGCCACATGAGGAGCATGATCTACATATCCTTCCGGGGCAACTAAGATGGAGCCTAGGTTTGTTTTCTATATTGTGTTTTTTATATTGTTGTTTGACTTTTAGTCTTTTTCCTGTTTTTGCCATGGCGTTGTCATTTTATTTTCTACTGATGAATTTGAATGTCCCTTTAGTTTCTTTCGCCTCTATATTCAATGGCGAGAACGTGAAATATGTACTATGAATGTTCTATACCGATACGCAGAGCCGGATTTAAAATTGCTAGATCACATCAGTTCACAACTTCCCCTACCGGGACACAATATGATCACTTCGCGGCATCCAGTATTTGATCGTGCTCCGAAATACTACATGCGTGGCGAGGAAGCCGGCCGGGGATCGATCCAACGACCTCCCACAAGTAGTAAGAATAATGTGATTTACTTTTATATATATTGTTTTGGGATATGTTTGTGGGACATCAAAATATTTGTAATAAGGGGACAAATGTAAGACAAATATTAAGAAACATTTGGGTCTTTGAGAATGAGCACTTTTCTGTATTAATCTTAATCAGGAATGCTCAAAACAAAACATTTGGAAACCAGAGGTGCGTTGACCATGTATACTCCAATTAAGTATTTCAATCTTGGTTTCTTTCAACGACAGCATGAAAGGACTGTTACAGTTGTTTACGGTGCTGTCACGGTCAAATACTATTTGTTACAGTATTTCAAAAGCTGTATAATGTTTGTCCCAACCTTTTCATAGTTGGGACAGTTGAAATTTGTTTGTGTCAACTGTTGAGACGTTTGATTTGACTTGACAATTTTTTATTTGAGCGCCACTGAAAAGTATTTTGTAGACAAAATGTCTGCTCTACATTATTTAATCCTGGTATTTTTTATCAGTTTATTGACTTCGGGCTCTCTGAGATATATGAATTTTTGCAGCTCTCAATCAATTATGGAGGTTTTAAGTAACAAAAAAAATACTATCATTACCTTGTTCTATTTAACGATAAATGCAATCGTCCAGGATGGATTTCATTGTTAGAAGAGCCCTTTTTAATAAATTGATAATATCTTACACAGACAAAGGAATAGATACCATTAACGTGGATGTTACGACAGACAAAGACATCGAGGACCATGATATCTTAGACATACCAGTAGAGATACTTTTCCAACGGTTCAGTAAGTAACCGGAATATTTAGACATATTGGATGCTAGAGAGGATCTAATAGTTTGTTGTAACTGTGGTCGTTTCACACCTTTGTAATTTAAAGGACCACAATCAACCATCGTGTGCTTTACGGACGACTCAACTCATTTTCGAGAAAGGCGAAAGATACCAAATGAATGTATTAAACCATTAGTCGATAAAACAAAAATTGCAGTGCTTTGGCAATAACCAAATAAACGACAAAAATACAAACACTAGCCATCGGATTGTCTTTCATTTTTCTGCATCTTGTAAGTCTTTTCGACTTCCCATGGACAACCATCACAATCGTATAGCGACATTGTAGACATTTACTAATCGTTATCTGATTGCAAAACTGCTCAATATTGAATACAACCCACAGATCCTCAAGCATGTGAATTGATTGCTGTTACTACTTAAACATATATTGTCAGGGTTTCCAGATAGCAGATGTTTTGTAAAACTATTCATCTATTTTGAGGCGAATAACATCTTTGTATTATTTTACCCGTCTGATTATCCACAACTTCAACAGATAAGAGTTAACTTAACTTTATATTCAGTACGACAAACTGAGATGCCACAAAGGAAAACATTATAAAAAAAAACATTCTTAGTGAGACTCAGAATCAAAGATGGAGATAGTTCATTTCACGCACCTAGTTGAAGGTTTGCATTGTTTGTTCCTGCTTACTAATCAAAATGGCCACATTGTTTAAATATAACATCAGGTGTTAAATGCAAAACATTGTATAATAACTTGTAAACAATTATAGACAGGGAAATTTTGACAAAGCACAAGTGTCCTTTTATACAGGAGGTATTGCCTTTGAAGAGGATTGTATTCAAGGTGTAATACCACAAAATCAAAGTACGTCACATCCGGTGGTATATACGAAAAAGGGTCGAAAACAATTCCCTTGAATTTTACAGTTGTAGGAAACTAGTACTACATATCATTGCAGTGAAAAAAATCCGAGTCATAAACATATATATCTTTGGTGTTTCAAAGCACTATTCTTATTATTTTTTTATGTTTCTATAGAACATTTTCTTTTTTGTATGGAAGGAAGTACACAAAAACAGGACACATGAATAGAAATATTTGGTAAATCGTTATAACCTTTGCCATTGGATCAGAAGTGAATCAAACTGTTTAGGTCTCTTGTTAGACCTTGTCTGATGTTCGAACCTATATAATATAGTTAATTAACGATCTACAAGTAAGGCATGCAAAAATATTTCTTGTTTTTAGACATCAAAGAAATTGACAGTCTGATAAAAACAATTGATATTAAGTCATCATTATCCAATCGATTTCCCAGTTTCTCTGTTTCTCTTTCATTTTGTTTCGATGCCTTCCGTCCTCTATACTGCGTGCTACTCGGGACGGATGAACATCTTCTATTTTGTAAGGAACAGCAGCAAACCGACTCCATATTGGACATGCACTTCCGGCCCATGTCTCAATTTTCCGTTGGATGGCAGTGGCTAACTTATCTTTCCTTACGCCTTTTAGAATATGAAAGGTAACCAATTCTATATCTCTGTTATAAATCATTAATACCTGCAAATGGATAAAAAATCAAAATGTTAAACGTGGCATTTATTATTGATCAAATATGCTGAATCTGTGGGAGGGAGGAACTGATGTATCATAAATGAATTTGTCATTTTAATTTGCAACATGTGCTTAAATATAACTAGTCTACGAGCTTTAAAACATATGACAGTATAAAGCCCGTAGAATGAAAAGGAAAAAGTCCTTTTTTATTTTGATTCCTGCAATTAACTTTTATGAAAGTCCAAAATCAAAAACAGTCTACTTTCAACTGAACAGTATGACGGAATACACTTTCTTGACACAATGTAAGTAAGGTTAATTTTATTAAATTGTTGCTTTCTCTGTGCTGCCACAAAATTGGTCACTGCCAATTAATTTTAAATTTGATTGATTATGTAATGATACAATGTTCATAACTTTTTTAACACAAAAAACATGACGGAGAATCCAATGTGAAATGTTAATTTTGATTAATTCTATAACCCCTGCATCGAATTTCCTGTTGCCAGCATTACAAAGATACACTAAAGACAAATAGAGATATTAATACTATGTTTCTCATCAATGAATGCTTATTTTGATATCTGCTCAATATTTTGGTAACAAGTACTTGAATGTAAAATATCTTTTTTTAAAGTATAAATATTAGATGTATGTGCATGTACGGTTTGTACATTGTATAAATGACAGATTAGTCAAAATATATTTGAGAGTTGGTGAGTACATAGTGACGTTTTTTTGCATTTTTGATTCAAAAGTCAAAGTTAATTTCATCTAAATCTTCTTCTTTATGTTCTTGGTCTCATTATTTATCAGACTAATATATACTTATAGAAATTTTTGTTAAAACATTGCCAATCGATTCGATAAGAAAGCTCAACGTCCAAAATAGAAAGTTCAAGTACTCTTTATGTTATTAAACCTGAGTTAATCCGTGAATGTTGCATTATATAGTTAAAAAGGAATGTTACAGTTCATTCGATATACAATAAAGTGTAGAAAGATATATTTTTTGTGAAATTTTGAATTTTAATAAATACAAGACATAAATGCAAGATCAAATTTTTATATTACCTTAAGAATATTCCGAAGCGCTGAAATATCCCTTATACTTTCAATGTAGACTGACACATTTCCTGCCGCTTGTTTTGCCACGAATTGTTCAACTATTTCTAACAATGGACTGGGGTTATCGTGGCCATCAAACAAAGCTTCCTCTATTGAATTGTTAGGTTCCGGTTTGTATTTTGAATTAATAGTTGTTTCTGTAATATAGTATGGAAAAATAAGATAAATTGTTGTTCAGTGTAAATTAAAATATATGCATGTATGTCATTAACTGGTGTTCCGCATTTAGCAGTTTCAAGGGGATATTAATATGTACCCATTTGCGAAAACAAAACTATGGTCCGTTTGATTTGATCTTTAGAATTACAATAAAATATCGATGAACTAAGTATTTAAAATTAAATAATGTTAAATATATATGTTTTGTTATGAAAGAAAGACGACACCATAGATACAGCCGTAACCTGAACACGACAACCTAATTCTACCTTATCAGTGGCCTAATATTCAAATCAGACAGCGGGCCAAATGTTATTTCAAAGTTGAAATTTATTGTGTATATGTTGTACAAACAATTTGTTGCACAAAAGTATATTAATGTGAACAATAAGTATTGTATTTCTAATAAAGAGTGTATAGTACATGTTAAGAGGGATGATTTACTTACGAAACATGCTGTACAACTGAACATTTTCCACGCATTTGAAACCCTCATTACAAGCCAAGCCATGTGCTGCTGATGGAATATTCTCCGTATTAAAAACTGATATTTTGTCAGTTTTCTTAACCAGGGGTTTTCTAGTATGCGAGATATATTTGCTAACGAGCTCAACACATGCCTTTACCTTCTTGTCCCATTTACTTCCTGGAGAAAAAAAACATATGATAACTATTTTATTATAAGGCAATTTTTTTATTAATATGTTTTGCTATAATATTAGAAATATAAAGAAATTATGTATAATTTATAACAGTAGTTTGATAGGAACGTAATGTAATATGAAAGTATTTCGTATTGCACAAAATTATTTTCTAAAACTAACCTTTATCAGTTTCAATCAGTGTCTAACTTGTAAAAGAACTATTGAACGGTTGAGAGTTAACACCAAAAGGACATACATATAACAGCCCTTAGAATAACTATAGTTCTAAAGATTAGCTACGTATTTGTTTGTTATTTTGAATATTATGAGTTTTCAATATAAAACGTTTTGGATAAAAACGCAATCATGACGTTTTTAAATATAAATTACCTGAGCCTGAACAGCCTCCACATACTTCCACTAAGCATCCAAATATTGCTTGTTTCATCTCGGACGTTGGCAGAGTATTTTTACTTGCAGTCGATGACATCTGTGTCCACAATTTTAGAGCTTCTGCTTGCCTTGCCTCCAGGCTTCTTTCACATCGCTCTTTTTGTTTAAAGTTCAGACAGAATCTACATCGTAGAAATATTATGAAAACAATAAAAAAGAAACAAGGAAGCAACCAGTACGAACCATTTTTTTTTAATGATTCGACCAACGAAGCAGCATTCTCATACAGGTAAATACGATGATTTACATAATTTGTTTGAAATATTAAAATGAAATCAATCTTACATAATGATACACATTGTGTGAGTTTTAAAACTATCTAGGTTTTTTATCACCTTGTAAGTTCATCCTTCTCCTGATTTTAACAGCAGTATAAATTTTATGTTTTACATTTGAATAATATGCAATTTTTGATGACTACTTATATTAGTATCATTGCAATTGACATCTTACCCAAAATGGTGCAGTTGAAATGACAAGAATTCGTTTCCCTTCCCAAGTTCAGAAGGTTTACACACGTCCTCAACATTATATGGTATTATCTGTGGACCACCTAAATCCAAAAATGGTTTATAAGTTACGTTAACCAACAAGTATATTAATGCATAAAATTGCATATACATGTAGTTATTTTACCAAATTCGCCTTGATCCAAAATTTCTATTTTATGTACATAAATGTTACGACTGTCAAACTCAATTTTATTTATAAATATTTTAATTCTGTGTTCCCCATTCAAACTGTTCTTTGAATTACTTGTGTATACTACAGATAATGAAAAGTAATGAAATACATTAGTAGACTGGTCAGCTGTTCCTTGTCTTTTTTTACTTCATCTTGTATCGTCTTGTTCCATTATTGCATTTGATTGCTCTGAAGGTTTAGTTATACAAATGCCTTTAAGGTGTTTATCGTAATTCTTAATATGGTGTTGTCTATTTCAAATTTGTTTTCATGTATTTAGGAAACAACTTTAAAACATTCATGAAGAATTAGCCGGATTTATAAAGGAAGATACAGAGTGCACCGGAAGACAGGAGAGAACACAATAATGAAGACTTAGCCGGATTTATAAAGGAAGATACAGAGTGCACCGGAAGACAGGAGAGAACACAATGATGAAGAATTAGCCGGATTTATAAAGGAAGATACAGAGTGCACCGGAAGACAGGAGAGAACACAATAATGAAGAATTAGCCGGATTTATAAAGGAAGATACAGAGTGCACCGGAAGACAAGAGAGATTTTTAAAGGAAGATACAGAGTGCACCGGAAGACAGGAGAGATTTATAAAGGAAGATACAGAGTGCACCGGAAGACAGGAGAGATTTATAAAGGAAGATACAGAGTGCACCGGAAGACAGGAGAGAACACAATAATGAAGACTTACACAGATAACAAGAAAAAAAAACAGCAATGAGAGTTATGATGAAAAGGTAGAAACCCTTAATTGAGAGTAATCGGATGACAACGAAAATGTTATCATTGAGAAAAGCATCGGATGACAAGATAAAAAACCACGACGAAAAGATTTGAAAAGGGAGAACACATTCACAATAATTACAAGCGTGAACACAAAGAAAACAATGATGGAGAGTTACCCGTATGACCAAAAAGCTCTGGACGTCCAAATCATTCATAAAAAATAAGATAGATGGTTTCCTTAATGCTGGGTAAGCTTGTTCTTAAACTACAAACATGTACTAGTGACTTTTGGACATGTGGAGTAGGATCTGCTTACCCTTCTGGAGCACCTGAGATCACCCGCAGGTTTTGGTGGGGTTCGTGTTGACTAGTCTTTAGTTTTCTATGTTGTGTTTTTTGTACTATCGTTTGTCTGTTTGTCTTGTTTTATAGCCATGGCGTTGTCAGTTTATTTTCGATTTATGAGTTAGAATGTATCTCTAGTATCGTTCACCCCTCTTTTGAATACGTTAGTAAATCCTGTAGAGTTTTGATTTTGTGTTTTGAAACGGGAAATAACTAGCAAATTAATATATTTTACCTGATATCAATTCAGATCTATATTCTTTAATATTCTCCCAAACTTTTGTCCACAGCTCATTAACTGTCTCCATTAGTTTCACGCTAGTACTTATCTTTACATATTGCTTCTCTTCACTTCTTTCCAGGGGGTATAAACCAACATAAACTATAATATAAAACATGATAGTAGCCAAATGGTGTTAAACAATTTAAAACGTAAGCGAAATACAGTGACTGACCATATAAATTCCTAGGTTTGAGTACACAATATGTTTACACAGCTACGTTTGCATAGGTACTATTTCTGTACCAAAAATATGTTGTACTGGAAATCTACTTTTAACATTCAGTACTATTTTTTTACTTTAAAATTATTGTAATATTTAGGTACATGTATTTTACAGTACTTAATTTGTACTTGAAATTTAAGTACTACAGATGTTTGGTTACACCGTTACATTTTCAGCATTTTGAAAGTTTGTCTATTTCAAATCTCTAAAAGTTATGATTTTCAAACATGGAATATTGCGATCACTGTTAGTATTATTTCTGTACCAAATATTTTAGTACAAATCAAGTACTGTAAATTACAGGTACCTAAATATTACAATGATTTTAAAGTAAAGAAATAGTACTAAATATTAAAAGTAAATTTCCAGTACACCAGATTTTTAGTACAGAAATAGTACCTATGCAAAAGTAGCAGTGTACGTAGTTTTGAATATAGAGATACCAAGGAAAACAGGTTCAAGGTCTTTTCGTGTCCGAATTGCAGAATTCTAATCACGTTATGTAGTTTTGGCGTTGCAGGAAAAAGGCACCATTTGTAAAACGTCTCGGACACCTTAGGGCACTCAATACCCACTGACTAATATAACGTTCATTTTTACACATCATTTGACTCCTCTATATTTTATTTCTAAACACCTCTTAACATGATTAACACAAAAAGAAGTAAAACCTGATTTACAAACCAAGCAGCCTACTCCTTATATGTTTCAAAATTGATTCAGTACTTGCTACAACAGTAAAATTGAATCTCCGAATTTGATTCCATGTTCGGAACACTTTACGGCTGGATGCAGGTTCAGACTTCTTCATAAAATTTCAATATATAGTGAAGGATAGTTAGGAAATATAGAGATTGCAGAAATCATATATATTGAGCACATCATTACTTACAAATTATTTTGTTTTGTTATATGTACATGTATGTATATATACAAGTATACAACACATGGGTTGAAAATTGTATTGATATTATATGATAAGTTTTGTATCAAGGATATGATAAATGACTTTTTTGGATAATCAAAAGCTTATAGTCATGAGTGAACAAAATGATTCCAATCTATCTAATTTGCGACATACATTACTCGGTGTTCAATGTATGCATTTGTATATTAATACAAAAAGTAACTATAAATACTTTTTAAAAGATATTGTTTGGAACATTTAGTACATCATACCATCATACCATGTAAGTTATTATGTATTATAAACTAGATATACGAATATAAATTGCGTGACATGGTTTTCTATTATAACTCTTATAAGGTATGCTTAATATTGTGTTGTATTAGCAAAGGACAAGTTTCACTTTAGGAAAAGATATCCTTCAATTTGAACTCAAACATAAAATATTAAAAAACCATAATTTGGTTCTTAATTGGATCGAGTACGAAAGCGGTACTACTAAGTTTAACAAATATCTTCATAAGAATATATTTAAGGCTTCGATTTCAGCAAATTGTAGATATATTGCCAAAATATGATGATGTTGTGAATTTTTTGGACTTGTGAAAAGCCTTAACCGAAAAGTACAATCAAAACTTTTCTGTAACTTAAATATATAACCAATGATAAAGCGTAAAGTGAATAACGCTTTAAGCTGGTTAGAATTATGATTTTTTTTTATCAAAACTGTATTACGTATTGATAGTAATATCACAAATATTTCGATTCGGAAATTTGTAGTACTTTGACTTGATTAAACACTAGATTTATCGGAACGACACTAACAGCTATGTTCGAAAAAGAAAGCATGAAGTCATTTTTTGAGTGGAAATTTGATAATGAAAGTTCGTATAACTGTTATTTTCACGAAATGTTCAAAGTCCAAAGCCTGTAATTTCAGCTTCAATCATCGGAGTGGAACAAAACGTAAACTCGATCTGTAACCTGTCATCGTAGACTAAAAATCAGCTCAACATGTGAAGGCGTTTAGAACAAAAGTCCATATAACTGCTAATGGCGGAATGCAGGAAATGATGGAATGATTGACATGGGATACACTATATGGCCCTGACCACGTTTAGGCATTGCCATACAAGCATTAACACCATAGTGCCAATGTTAACCCTTCGTGAATTTATTCCTTTATATTTATAAATTACATACCACAGTATTTGCCACCACGCAACTTCGATTGTTTACTACATATTCCATCTTTTCGAATAGATAAAGACAGACCACGTCTTTGTAATCTGAGTGCTGGTGTACATGTACTCATCAGTAACTTTGTCAGTTCCGTGGTACTTTCAATGGTCTGTTCTTCATGCTGAATCACTACAGCTTGTCCCATCTGAAACCGATCTAGTTGTTCCTGTGTCCATTCGCTGTTCATTTCCTTATTTGTAGATTGTGTAGTGTACGCTTTGAGAACATCAATTTCTTGTTTTAACGAGTCCTTCACCATATCTATACATTCCACCAGAGTTGAGTCGATACGTAAATATGAAGTGGAGCTATCTTTAAAATCCCCAATTCTAAAATGTTTTGATAAGGGAGTTGAATCGCTCAATGATCTAATGAGTGCTGGTTTTTTGCTTTCGTGTTGGAGGCTTTCAGGATAAGAAAACTCGTTTGGATTTTCTAAAGGTGGATTAACTGATATCATAACTGTTCCACTCGGAAATTGATTCAAAGTTGTACGATATCCAGATTGTTCTTTGACAAAAGCTTCTATATGCGTTGATGGAAATTTGATGAAATCAAAACCGGAGCAGACAGACAAGGCAGCTAATTGTTTCATTTGATCTGCGTCCCCTTGTTTTCCGTTTCTGATATACGTCAACTGTATAGCTCTACAAATATAAATTTCAACAATAAAGTATCTATTCATTGACGTTATTTATTCGGATGTAAGTTAAGCTGATATGTGTACTAAAAACTGTTTTCTACTTTTCCGCTATTAGCCTTAAATTCGTTATTAGATATAGGTAATCTTTTAAGAAATGCACATTATCAATTATTGCTACAGACCAATACAATGTTTTATCTTCATTGTTGTGTAACCGTGATTGGTTTGTTTAGGTAGAATATATTGAACTAAACGTGGTTGATCCTTTTGCTTTGTTATGTGGTTGTTTTCGCATAAAAAACAATCAATAGAAATAGACAAAGAGCATTCAAAGTCGGATATATTTCCTAAAGAGTTTAAAACACTAGAAAACCTGGTTATTTGAGTAGACGTACCTTCCATCATTGTATAAATCTATACTTTGATCACTGAATGCCTTTAAAATTTTTATCTGTCCACCTGAATTGAAAAGAAAACCAAAATAATTATATTTCGGTGTATCAATTTAATGTATCATTTCGACCATTCAAATGATTTCATTATATGATTTAGACGACAGAAAATACGTAATTACATGTAGTAGTAAACAAGCACAGCAGACTTGCTTCATATTCTAGTTGTTTCCCTTTTTTTATTACGTGAGATAAATGTTTTTTGTGCTGTTTTATAATGTTGTATCCGGGTTCTTTAATCACTTATTTTAAATTGGGGTTTGCTTTTTGTGAAGGCCACACAGTGCCAGCAGTTGTGTAAATTGTTGTTCTTTGGTCTTTGATGAATAGTGTTTTTCATTAGTATTAAACCATATAATTAACCATATATCCTTTTTAATATTCTTGTATAATTATTACTCATGTTTTTATAGTTTTCTGTAAACGTTTTGTTTGACAATTCTTTCTTTTTTCGTTTGGTAAATGCCCACTCTCATTATCTGTAGGAAAAACGCAACTATAGTTCTGGCTTTTGTCATTACTTCTATTTTTTCGAAGGACGATCCTGGTAAAGTGTACCTCATACGAATCAATGAATACGTCGACAAAAAGAGGAACATGGTTGGTTCCATATCGCATCCCGATGTTTTGTTGACACATCCTCCGAACGAAAATAATATGTTGTCAATTAAAATGTTAACCGGCTTGATGATATCCTCTTTAGATTTATTGATGCATTATTGGTTGCTAAACGTCCAGGGGCAAATGTTTCATGCATGTTCATGATTAAAACAAATTAACAATAATTACAAAGGAAGGTCCTGAAATTGCGGTCGACATGAATGCAGTTAGGGAAACTGGACTGCTACTGGAAAATGAGGGTAAATTGGATGGGGACAGACACTTTGACATACAACAAGTCATCTAAGGGACCTAAAAGAGTTGTTGCAAGGGTTTTTAACGTGCATAGATTGTGGCATTTTCCCTACCTGATCGGATTGAACATCATCATCGGACGTGCCTGCGTATTTATACATCCCACACGCTAAACGGACGCAACGCTTGAGTTTTCCTGCCGGTCGGAAGAAGACCAAGAGTGAACATACTCGTTTTTGTACATTAATTTGCTATCGACAAACTAGGCAGGCAGGCATCATTGTTTATTAGTCATTATAACAAAAGATATAAACGAATTTATTAAATGAAGATTGTCAAATGATTATGTACATCATTTTACTCATACCTTTTAATAAGATGTCTGTTTTGACAAGTACTGCTAAACGTTTCAGTCGAAGTGCCAATCTAGGAGACATGATACGTGTGGCACACCAATCCCAGGTCGATTTACTCATACTTGGTTTTTCACATGAGATACATCCTCTTCCAAGCCCGCATGACTGGCCCACTTGTCCTTCATCCACAAAATTTACATCCACATCAGAATACTCGTACAAACTAGAAGTTTAGCACAGACAATATTAACAGATTACACAGTGAGGAAAAAGTAAAAAAAATCAGATTAAAACTGTCCAGAAAGGTAGAATCGTTTTAGGTTAAAGTTTCAAGTTTATAATTTTGTATTAACATACAAACCTTAACATCAATCAAATCAAAACCTTCAAATTAATCGTAATTGATAATTAGTCTTCTTCGAGTGCTACTTATGTACTAGACGAGACGCACAAGGGACTTACCAATTCTAAGTCTCATACATGTTTATTCCATGTGGTGAATTATGAGACTTGACGTGGTCACATGTTCATTTTAAAATTATTAATAAAATTTAGAATACTGGTAGCTGAAAGAGATATATGCAATCAAATAAAACATACGTTTGCATTGCATCTTCGTCTTCACGACTGAATTTATATGACGTCTGTCCACATGCGTCTACTTCATTAGTGTACTGCGTTGGCCAATGGTCTGTTGGATTAACTGTTATATCAGGACATGAGTGAGCGGACACAATGGATTCTGAAATATGCACATATATATTACTGGTGAGAAATATAAATATTGAAGTGATTGGTGTTAAACAACATAATTTTATCACAAATATAAGGACTTATTATGATGTATGATGTACTTGCATTCAATTCATAAAATCGATAATTCACTCAGAGGATTTTTTTAGTAATTAAGTTGGTAATGCAGACATGGTTGGCATCCTTAAGTTTGCATTTTTTGCTAAAAAGACTTCATCAAGAACCAATTACACGTGTCTGTCGAAGGCCAATAGTGGCATCTTTGCTGATGTCCATTTCTGTTTATAATGATGTCTGTCATTCGGTCGTCGTCAAATTAATTGTGTTCGCAATAGGGACTAAAAACACTTTCCATACAGCCTTAATACCTATTTTCTTCAATGCATTCTCAAAAGCTAATCGGTCCTTTGAATTTACAGGCTCAAGTTTCCTTCGTTTAGTATGAGTCATCACTTCAGCCTTAACAGCCACGTGTACAAGTTTTCTATCATCTTCATTTGAAACATACGGAAACCCAGAACAGACGGCTAACTCATGGAGTCTTTTAGTTAGATTAGGATCTTGGTCTATTAGCGGAGTTGTTTTGTTAATATCTTTCGATACTGACACTATTGCTGCCCTTCCCTCGTAGTGAAGAGAACTGTTCCCATGTTCGCCATTCGGATTTATTGAAGTTGGTTCGTCCCAAGCTTCATGAACAATTAGCTTTCCTGAAATAACAAAACAAATGGTTATCGTTCATAAAAGTAAGATTCAAGTGTAACATATTCTTGAAAATATACTCAATAAATGTGTGATCAATTATAAAATTTATGTAATAATTTAGTTATTGCATATGTACAAGAAAAATATATTGCATCAAATTTAAAAGCAATCCTTGCTCTAAAGGACCAATAAGCCTGTTTGGGCAATTACTACACATGACAATCGTCGAAATAGTCCATAGTGTTGATCTAGTAAATGTGACATATCTCTTTTCGAAAAAACATATTAGAGTATTCTGAGAAATTACGAATTAGTATCAGAAGGTTTGATATTTTTGTTAGTGGAAATTTTCTGGCACTAGACATTTAGTGAGTTTCAAAACAAAATCCTGCATCTGGTCAAACAAACTTTCCTACTTATTTCGAGTATATTATATCGAGTAAATAATTATAAAAATATGAGGATGAGGTATGATTGTCAATAAGAACACTCTCAACAAGAAACCAACTGACACAGAAATTAACAACTTTAGGTCACCGTACTGCCTTCAACAATGAATAAAATCGATACGTTTTGTTGTAAATTAAAACCACGTACTGATAGGCCACTCGCTTGTGACATATTTCCCCAAAAGACTGGTCTTAGACGCTAATGATGACGTCATCATTCTATCAGCACATTTGTCGATGTCATCAAAACCTGCTGGTTTTGTAGTACATCGTGCACATGGTCTGCCCGGATATCCGCACCATACAGCTGTGTCGGCTTCCTCTGATGCGAAGAGTATATCATTACCAACCATCTGATGTAATCTGATGAACATAAATCATTTACATTAACAATTAATTTTTCATGGAGACTGCGTGATGATACTGTAAATGATTTTTAAAGGAATGACAAATAAACAAAAATGTCAAATTACGGCATTATTGAATTTATGACTCTGAAAAACAGCGAAATTTAGCTTTAAAAATTTATGAGGATGAGTTTTGATCTAACTATATTTCAATTATACCAACTAGATATCATTGAGATGGGAGCCATCTCTGTGGGCCCCGCTGTGAATAATGTGTTGTAAAAAAATTGTATCTTTATCATTGGACATGGGGTTGTCAACTGAAACCAAAGTTTTTGACCTTGACCTTTGACCTAGGAAGTCGTACATAAATTATGACACACCCTCTGGTGTTGGTTTATATACATGTTAAGTATTAACTTTGAAATCATAACGGTTCTCAAGATATAGAGCTGACACGATCTTTACCATAGGACATGGGGTTGTCAACTAAAACCAAAGTTTTTGACCTTGACCTTTGACCTAGGAAGTTGTTCATAAATTATGACACACCCTCTGGTGTTGGTTAATATACATGTCAAGTATAAACTTTGAAATCATAACGGTTCTCTAGATATAGAGCAGACACAATTTGTTACGGACGGACGGACAGACGGACGGACAGACTGATCACTATAGGGCGTCCGCCATTCGGCGGGGCCCTAATTATAATTCTTGCTATAAAGCAAGAAATAAAAAGTGTATCTATAGGGCTCATCATGATAACAAGAATTGAAATGGAAAAAATTGAATAATTTTTCATATATTAACAAGATATTCTTACGATAGCTTCATTTGTAAGTACTATTTAATTATGTATTGAATACATAAATAGAATTATTACAAACAGAAAAATATTTTTGTGAAAACTTAAAACTACTGAAATCATACTTATAAAATGTGGTATCATTTCGTAATACTTTGTTTTTCATTTGGCCAACAATATCCTGTGCATCTCCATTGTGATTGTCTTTCCCATCCGGAAAACAGTCGGCACTACATGATCTGAATATTTCTTCTTCCGTAATATTGACGGTTCTGTTGAAACCTTCCGCCAGCAATGTATTCCTACAATGCCATAATAGATAAAACTTAATTAGAATATACTGGAATACCATGATAGATTAAGCTTAATTGGAATATACTTTACAAAATTACTGATATTTTATATTTCTTCTTGGGCGCTTTTTTTTTTCTTCTTATTTAATTGCTTATTTTCTCCTGTGTGTAAAAAGAATGTCGATTAACAATCTGATTCCCATGATTACAGTAACAAGTGGTCTAGCACTAAACTGCAATGCTTAGATGTAATGGTTTCGGAAGAATATAAATTCTGAATGTTTTAAATCAATAAAATGCATTGGATAAATTAATACAGAAAGACATATGTTACCATATGGGAACATCGAAAGCATCCACAATGAGACGAGCATCAGACACATTAAAGTTGCCTTCTATGTTTAATACATCTATGGTGCAGCGTTTGACATCTTCAGCCAATGACACAGATGTTAATATTGGGGAGATCCTAAACACAACAGTAATTTAGGGTTAATAATATTTTAACATATAAGAGGTATTCAGATTATTCTTAAGTACACAAATTGTCATCTAAATCACAAAATTAAAAAATGTCAATATATATTGGACAACCAAAAGAACAACAATGGGACAAAAATGATACAGACGTCTATAACCCGGTTTTTTTAGCAAAGCTTTAAAAAATAATTTAAAGTTCACTGTTTTTTTCATCTATGACGTCGATCATTTGAACCTATATTTGCACCACGGCAATATTATACTACACATATTGACTGGGGATGAGGGTATTAGCGAGTTGGTTGTCCCTTGCCTGGAGCAATAGTTGGTATCTCAGTGACAACAAACTTGCTATTACAGAGGACAACAAACTTGCTATTACACTCATAAACAGTCATTAAGTGTTTTATTATCCCGAACAAAACAACTTATTTGTATTTGTCAATCATTATTAACTGTATTCAAGACCAGGAATCCTTGTGTGTATTAATTCCCATGCATACAGATATTATCGTTTACGATATTTCAGAGCTTAACGTTGCAAAGCGCATACATCCAAGCAGAATAGTCAATGACGTCATTGTTGTCCATTGAAAAATATGAATGAAAATGTACGGGAAATGTGTTTATTAAACTATTGACCAGGTCAATAGTCTTTGAAACTATGGTCTGTGACTGGAAAATGGTCTGTGGAAGGAAATAGCACAAATATTTCATTCTTTTATATATAAAAAAAAACATATTGAGGTATAATAATCTGCCATATTGCACGCTTGCTCTTCGTTACGTTCTGATGGAAATATGATCATTTTATTCAACAATATCACTTATAATAGGCTTTAGCAGCAATATTCATAGGAATATCATTCGGTCCCATTGTAATTGTTAAATACATTTCTTACTTCATACCGAAACAGGTAGGAACATATATATGCTTAAAATCGACCTCGTAGTACATGATAAAAGTTACTTTCGCAATATATATACGGTAATGTATTATACCTGAATTCAACAGGAGGCGAAAAATTAATTTCCATGTCTCTAGCAAGCCATCCAATTGTTGTTGTTACATTCATCTGAAATAAATATAAAATGGTCGAATTGTTTAATGATTTAAACGATTTTAAATAACCGTTCTTATGATTACTACATATTATATATATATATATATATTCCTGAAATCAGACAGAAGGCAACTACTATTATACGTTTGCATGATGCGTTATCAATCACGTGACTTTTTGTTGTATTTACAGGTGACGAACGACGGAAGTCACTAGTGGAGCAGGAACTGCTTACCTTCTTGTGCATTTAAGTTCATAACTAGTATTTGTTGAGATTCTTGTGGCTAAGTCTTCAGTGTTCTGTGATATTTGGAAGACTACCTATACGTCTATCTTATTTTTTGTATTGTCTTTTTCGTTTGGTCCTCCTGCTGCGTACTCCTTGGAAAAATTTATCTACGCATATTCTCTAATGAATGTATACCCAAAAAAAAAACAGAACCATTTAACTAACGTGTTAAAGTAAGAACTCAAATTGATAGACAACTTTCTTTTCCAAATGCACTTTTAAACCTTTGGCTTAATAATATTATTCCTTGCAGTGATTATTAGGAGAGGAATGAACAAGATCATATGTCTATCTTATATCATTTTCTAACTATCAATTTCGTTCGTTGTTTTCAATTATTTACAAAGCCTACCTTTTGGTATATAGCTGTTGTAAGATAAAGATCTTTGTTTGTATTAGTTTCAGCATGTTCTGTTTTGATTTTCCAATTTTCTGCTGCGACATAACCTGTCATACCTTCTCCAGCAGCATATTCCTGAACTATGAATAAAATACAAAAAAATACAAGTGTTCTATCTCGTCATGATCACGAACAATTATAAAAGGAGGAGTT